TGAACCTTACGAGCTTAAAAGAGGGAGATTGTGAATATGAGCTCTAGATTTGATCATACATGGCATTTTTTCATTATCAATCACTTGTTCCTTGCATGATTCTTGAAGATGAAGGATGAAACTCCATGGATTTTGAGTCTGGAAGTTAACATGTGCATAGTTGTTGATTTGCCCTTTAATTCAAAGTTTTGATCTTTACATGGAAACTTGAGTTTTGTTTTAAATTTATGATTTTGTTTGAAGTTAGAAAGTGATCATTCAACAAATTTTTTTTTTTAATAAGTTTTAGGCCTTGATTTTCATGAATTTGAAGTTGATTTTGCAAAAGAAGGAGTTTCCATTCAAAATAGATTTTCGGACTGGTTTTACACCTAGAACACTCAAGCGGCATGGGCCACTGCATGAGCAGCCGAGCCTCTTTTGCCCAAAATTGTATACTGCTTAACCACCGTTCGTGCGGCCAACATGTCATTTTTTTTCCCCCCACCCCCCTCCCTGTTTTTTTTTATTTACATGGTTTTCACGTGTAATAGGCATCCATAGGCATAACATGAACACGAAGGGAATTAAAGAAAGAATAAGAACGCTTTAACGGATATGTAAATAATGAACTGACTAAACAAAGTGAATGAATGTGTTTTGTTGTGCTTGGTTATATTTCTATAGATTAAGCCGTTAAGGTGGACCATCCGACCAAGCACTGTGAGTAACATTTTTGTAAAGATATGTTTGTATGGTATATGTTTAAACTGTTATCCAATAAGCTATGTTTCTAAAATGTTATTTTGATACGCGAACGAATATCCTATTTTGATCTATTATGGCATCCACAGATAGTCCCAAGTCATGGGAGACGACATGTAAATGCGGGTCCATGACATATGATTGTTTATGAGATCTCGTTAGCCTCTTCATTGTGGTGATATGTGTTTAATTGGTATCCAAAACCGATTATTCTAGTTGAAAGACGTTCTGATATGTTCTATTAGATGTACCATTACTATGTTTCGATATAAGAATAATTGTGATATGATTTGTTTTACAAATGTGATATATTTGGAATGCGTTCACTAACCCATTTACTTTAATATTATTCACTGGGCTTTAGCTCATTATGTATATCTATATGTATAGGTGGACGACGTGAAAATCTAGCCTAGATGCACACCGTTAGTCGAGCCACCGGTTAAGCCTATGGAGTTTTGTTTTGGTGCCTTTGAGTTGGGGCTAGGTCTTGTGGACCGTTGTTAAGTTTTTGATCGTGATGTTGACATTTTGATATATATGTATATGTCTATAAATTTTTGGTACAAGATGTGATGTATGTAATACAGGGTGTGTAAATTAATGTTTTGTGCACGTATTATTCCATATAGAATCACAGCTTATTGGACTACTTGTTAGATATTTTTATATAAAGCTTCTGCTAGTCTCGATTATTTGGATTTGTACATGAAGATCTTTGGTAATCTCAGATTATTGGCCTATTTCGACGCTAAACCTATAGGGGCGGGTTTGGGTCGTGACAAAATGACTTCTATTCAGAGAATGAAGCTCCGATGAAGATGAATGTGGAGGTTAGCGGCGGCGACAGGGGGGCAACATATCAAGCTAACTCCGCTGAGATGGATCTAGAGAGAAACAATACAAACAAGCAGGGACGAAACCAAGAATTCATTTGCGGGGGGCCAAGACATAAATAAATTTTTTTTATATGAATTGATATATTGTTGGCATTGACTTCATTACATACATGGTTAATATTCTATTAGAAATTAAAACCAATTGCTAATGTAATATATATATATATATATATATATATCACAGGACATAGAAAATTTTTGTGCCTAGAATAACAAATGTAATTAAAACAAATTTTATATAAATTTAAAAATTCAGAATTCAGATTCAACACATAAATTTTATACAAGTCTCCATTCATTTTAATTTTGAATTTATAACACTTAATCTGAATAAAATTAAATTTGCCCAAATATGATTAAAAAAAACCCTAGTAATTGAAATCATACGTCCTAATTCATTATTTTTTTTCTTAATATGTAAAATTAAAAAAATTACAATTGTATCAACATGACATTAAAAAAGAGATAATAAAAATATTACAAATTAAAAATAACAATAAAAAGAATATGAATCACATACCTGTAATAATGAGAAGATTAATAACAAAAGTAAGACTTTTCTTCTTCTTTTTTTTTCTTCTTTTTTTTTTTTTTTTTTTTTTTTTTTTGTTAATGTATCCCAAGTTTATTTAACTCAAAAAGAATCCTATGCTTGCATTCAATAAGTTGAGACGGCGTAGAGCAGGTCATAGCAGCTAGGTTTTCTTTCTTTCTTCCTTTTGTCTTTTTCTGTTTCTATTCAACCTTTTCTTTTTTTTCCCCCCAAAGAAGACACATGGCCCTCCCTGGCCATCTAATAAATAGATTGAGCCCAGCCCACAAAACAAAGCAGGGTCATTTTACTTTATATTATTAATACTTTATTAGATTAAGCCCATCCCACAAAATAAAGCAGGGCCATTTTACTTTATATTAATAATACTTTATTGAAAAGATATATATATAAGTAATTTTTTTTTTTTAAGCGAGGGGGCCGTGGCCCCTGACAGTTCCTTCATCGGTCCGTCAGTGCAAACAAGCACGCAAATAATGTAAAAACCATAAATCTGAGTTCAAATGAAGTAGATCTAAGTAAGACTCTAGTTTGTAGATGATTGACAACCACAATAGAGCTCTGGTTTGTTGCCGTTGATGATGAAATCCTAAGGGAGATTGAATGAGACCACGGCGCAGGAAGGGCGGTAAGAAAGGCGGAGACGCGGATGAGGCGGAGGGTGGGGGATGGATAACGGTGATTAGTGACAACAGAGAATGGAGAGAGAGAGCAGAAACTAGAGACAGAGAGTGGAGATGATTTTTTTGAGGTGTGAGGATTTAGTTTGTATATATAGCCGAGGATATTTTGGTCATTTTATCTAAACTTCTCCTTATGTACAAAGTATTTGAGCGCTTGAACTTCTTACAAAACAAAACCTAAATTTGGGGTTTTGAATCGAATGTCCTGAAAACTTATCAAGCCGATTATTTTTGTGTGTTTATTTTTATTTAACTAATACTATGTATTTTTAAAAATAGAAAATAAAATGAAACAAACAAAGAAATGACTCATTTTGTATGCAACAATTGTAATAAAATAGTATAAACTCATAATGATTATATATAAAAAAAAATTAATTACACAATATAATATATAAATTGATTGCATTTTCATGATATTATAAATATTTTATGATCCCAAAAATAGGTTAAAATTCAAGCATTGTTTGGCAAGCATCTGTTTTAATCTAAAAGTTAAAAAGTTACTAAAAAATTAAAAAACCTATAATTTATATAAAAAAGTCAAAATTTTAATTTTCTCGTTACTTTTTGCATATTGTTTTGTAAAAAAAAAATTCATTCTGAACGTATTAATTTTTTTGCCTCATATTTTAGCAAAAAAATTAAAAAATTAGTAAATTGGGAAAAAATAGTTTTAGCTTAAAAATCAAAAAATTGCTAAAAAAATTTAAAAACCTATAATCTATACAAAAAAACCAAATTTTTTTTTTCTCCACTCTTTACAAATTTTTTTTGCAAAAAACTAAAAATTCATTTTAAACATATAAGATTTTTTACTTTATATTTTAATTAAAAAATCAAAAAATTACTAAAATGAGATTTTAATGAGGGAAAAGCAAAAAAATATCTCATTGTTTTTCACTTCAACCTAGGGGTGGGCGCAGGTCGGTTGCGTCCACGAAACCTCCAATTCGCCATCCGTCCGCTAGATTACTGGATTGGAGAAAATCAATCCGCCTCCGTCCGCTAATCCAGCGAACGTGAATTGAGCGGATTGGCGGTTTGACGGATGGATGAGAATCGGGTTGGTGGTTTGAAATTTTATAAATTTTCAATGTAGTTCAACTTATGCACTTCCTCAAAAAAAAAAAAAGTATTACTCAATGGTTTAAAAAAGTATTACAATTACTGCATGCATCATTCAAAGAAAGAAAGTTTGAAACTTTAGAGGATTGGTTTGGGAAATGTATGAAAAAAAGACTATCCTCGCATACTTCCAATAATAATTGATGTGGTTGCCGCAACCAAATTTGCATATCAGTTTGGGAAGTGGATTGATTTTTTAACTTTTAATTTTTTTGGCTATTTTAGCCTGGGTTAAAAAGATTGGGGGCTTTTTGACTTTTTGGCTTTTTTGACTTTTTTTGTGAGAGAAGAGTATAATGATTATGGGTTGGATGTGATGTTTTGTTTGTTGTGACTAAAATAGCTTATTTTGTCTTTTATAGATAAAATAACCAAAAAAGCCCACAACTTATCTTCCCAAACGGAGCCAGAATATCACAATCACTGCATGCCTCATCTACATATTACAATCACACCATGCCTCACCCACATAAAATGTTACAATATGTGGTTTTTAAAATATAAAAACATTTCAAACTACCAAAAACATGAACAGAGCAATAATAGAGATTGTCTCTATATTGTTACATTTATATATGTTTTTTAAAACAAAAACCAACCAGCACATGTTATATTTTCTATTTATTACTTTTAGAGTTAGATTTAAAATAAAAAAAGATAGATAAATAATACGTTTATTTTTTTCAATTCAAAAAATATATTCAAGTTAAATTTTTTTTTTTAACAGAATATTTGAACTCTTTTTCAATTAAAAACACAAATAAAATATTTAAACAAATTAAAAACACAAAATCTTATAAATTACTAAGAGTACTCATGATTTGACGGTTTAATTGCGACCAAAAAAACCTCAAATTCACCATCTATTAATCAAATTGACAAATTAAAAAAAATCAATCCCCAACTATCTAGTGGTTATCACACATCCATTTAAAATACAACGAATCGATTCTCTTCTGTCAATTTTAACGATCGGTATATCAACTGGTCACCGACGTCCTGGCTGTTTCTTTTTGCACACTACCTGCAGCCTCTCTTTCTCTCTCTCCTCCGGATCTTCGAGCCATTTGGGGATCCAATCACATTTTCGCTTAGCCGCCCCGTGACCTAAAGTCTGATCATTGACAGTTGTTCTTCAAAGAATTCACCTTTGAACTAAGGATTTGGCTTTAGGGTTTCTTTCACAGCGACGATGGCTTCTCAGGACAAGAAACAAGCTGGTGGGTTCTTCGCATCAATTGCTTCCAGTTTGTCCAATTTCGGCAGCGCAATGCACAAATCAGTCAATGGGTATGCCTCGAATCGTTCATATCTTATCTTTTTTCTTCTTTTCACTGTTGCGATCCATTAATGGCGTTTCAAAATTGAGATTTTTTTTTGGGTATATATTTATGGGTTTTGCATCCTTTATTGCTAGGGTTTGTTTGATGATGATTTTGCTATCACTGACGTTTCATCACATATATATATATATATATATATATATATCTATCTATCTATCTATAATAGCGAATCACTGGTTTAGTTAATACTGGGCATACTAAACTCGAGGTTGACCCTCTGCATAAATTATGGCAAAGTTTAGTCTTTACGCAATAATGGGGATTAACTATATATATATATATATATATCTGTACATCTTCTTCTAATATTCTCTCTCTCTCTCTATATATATATATACACACACATATATACTATACTATCTATACTATTATATAAGGTCTAGGTGTCACATATTTTATTTGAATTGGTGAGCACTTCCATATGAAAATCAACAATTTCTGTGACATCGACACCAATTCCCACCTTCACTTTATAGATAGTATAGATAGATTACAAAACTCACTTGATGTCAACATCTATGTCGGCCGTGAGGGTTGTACCGTTTGATGGGTGTGCTCTCCAAACAATTGCTCAGGTTCGATTCTTGGGGCCAGGCTGGGAGAATGTAATTTCTCGTGAATTCCCTAGTCATGCATGGATGGTCTGCCTTTTACCAGACTAGGGAGAGGATTAATAGAGGTGTGTGTGAGCCCTGACCGCTGAACCAAAAGAAAAAGAACACCCATGTCACTTAATTCCTAATGCCCCAATGACAACTATGTAACTGTTCAAGTTTCTGATGTCGTATTTTTTTTTCCCCAGTTTTTTTCTCCTCCATCTACATTCAAATTTATTTTTTCAGATGACGGCTACAACTGTCTTCTATTTCTGCACACACATCGAGTGTTTGCTTAACTTCTAGTATAAAATGTATATGTATTTCCCAATGCTATTTGGTTCGCAACTTGGCTAATCTTCATGACCTATTTCTCATTTGCTCAAGCAAAATGTTACCTTGAAAAGAATGAATAAATAAAAAAGATCATATTATTGTATCTAGTAGTTGTCCAGAGTTCCCAGTACTCCCTTATTAGCGGGAGTGGTTTAACTCAGAGGAAGAGAGAGTATAGTGGAATATCCCGTGTGACCCATCTCGAGTATTGAAACTTGACCTTCGTTAGCAAACATTCTTTGGTCTTTTTTCTGATGCTATTTCCCCGTGTAGTATTTTGGGGGAAGCAAATTTTGCTTATTGATAATGTATGTGCATGCCATGATTGTTGATGTCTTTTCTATTAATATATATGCCTTGCAGTGTTGAAAATGCTTATGGAAGATTTTATTTTGCTGCACTTCGAGCATGCATCAATAGGGTGACGTACAGTTCTGCATTAATGGTCATATGCTGTTCCTGTTTGGTATGTATCAGTGTTACCAGAAAACACGCTAATATCCTAGCGATTTATGTTTTGGTATGCACGTTTTGAAACCTGGTACATTCTTATTTTAAAATGGTACATTTATCAATCCAAAGTGATCCCAAAACTTTTTCCAATTATTTAAATATAATTTTCATTGGGAGGGAAAAAAAAATCAAATATAATGAATTAAATCTAGAGAAAGTGGAGTTTTAGCTGGACAAAATGCAAAAAGTCGGTCACAATATTGAATAGCTAATTGTTAAAAGAAGATTGCTCCACCAGTAAAAATGTAGCCTATGCAAGCCTCTCTCTATCATATCACATTTTATAGCATGTGGTGTACCACATTCCTTACCTGTTTCCGTTGAACAATCTGTGTTCTATTTGACGTAGGTAGTATTGTCACATGAGTATTAACTGAGCTTGAGGGCAATGCTTCTTCCTCATTTGATCACCATGACTGTCCTATCTATAGCTTCACAGATTTTGAGATAATACCCTCTTTAGCAGCTTGGTTAATGATAATCCACTTAGCAGTGGTTGCACAATGCTATGGCAGTTTCTCCTCAATTTGTTTGACATATTAACTCCCTAAACTCTCGCACATGCATAATGAATTGTTCCCTCAAATTCTGACGTGCATTTACTCCCTAAAGTGTCACTGCGCACACATGAATGACTGGATAGCTGAGTAACGTCATTTACATTTAAATTTATGGAGACACTGACCATTGCTTCCTTAGTAATTTTCACAAGTTGTGGTTGTTAATTTTTTGGTCTATGCCCTTATTTTACCTAGTCATGTATCACAACAATGGTTTTTTTTTTCTGCTGATTGAAGCTGAAGTTCTGTTATCTTGGTTTGTCATTTTTGTACAATGTTCACAATATATATATATTAGTTTCATTCCATGTGCTGAAGATTCTGGTTGTCATTAACCTGTGTTGTTTTCCTTCTCTAGTTTGCTGGGTTATGAAGGCCTGGAAGTTATAAATCCTGAAGGGGGGACTGAAGATGCTGAAGAGGAAGCACACAAAGGAAGATGGAAGCAGGAGGTGCAATAATATATACTTTTTTGCTTCTTTCATTTTATTTTGCTGATGCAAGTTTTGCTGTGTTATTTCTAGAACTTTCTGCTTAATTTTTCTGCTATGGCATGATTTTTTTAATGTATTTCAGTAGGCTCTTATATAGGTTGAGAAAATTCAACAGGATTACAAGGTATAGTTCAAGGCCATTAGGCATCATCTTGAATGCATTATGTATGTGTCTATGTGGGTTCTGATCCTCAAATGTGGTGTATGACAGAAAATTTGTATTTATTGACAAAAGCGGATGTCTTGTGATTCTAGCATTTCTTGTTGACGTGTGTTATTGTCCATAAGTAATGCTTAGTAAATCTCTCTCTGCCTCTTAACAGAAATAAAGGCGTATCTCTCTATTGACAACTTTCTTTCTTTTCTTGTGTTTCATAGGATCGGGACAGTTATTGGAAGATGATGCAGAAATATATAGGTTCTGATGTCACATCAATGGTGACACTCCCAGTCATCATTTTTGAGCCAATGTCAATGCTTCAAAAAATGGCAGAGGTTTGTGTTTTTGTACCATACTGATGTCTGTGTTATATTTGATGATGCTTTTCTTGTTGAATATCACCAATTGTGATATGTTTGTAACAGTTGATGGAATACTCCTACCTTATGGATTTAGCAGATGAATGTGAGGATCCCTACATGCGATTGGTTTATGCTTGTAAGTACCATTCTGCTCTCTCTCTCTCTCCCTGCGCGAGTGTGAGTGTGCATTTTCTGTTGTGAAACTTATGGTTCTCCATTTCAGCATCCTTCTTTATAACAATCTATTATGCCTGCCGACGAACCTGGAAGCCATTTAATCCAATTCTTGGTGAAACTTATGAAATGGTCAATCATGGAGGTGTTAAATTCATTGCAGAACAGGTGAGCTTGACCACATTTTCCACTGGATACATTTTTCTTATTTTCTTTGTTTAAATGCTAGTTTTGGTCATGCTGATTTTGATTATAACCAAGAAGGAATTATTATTTTCTGCCTGTATTTTAGACTAGTGGAACTTTGTTGTTAAGTAATTAACATTTTGATCATGCTTATTTCTTTCATCTTTATTTATGTTTTGCGTCATAGTGCTGTGTAATAATTGCAATCCCTGTTCAGGTTAGCCATCACCCTCCAATGAGTGCTGGACATGCTGAAAATGATCATTTTGTCTATGATATAACTTCAAAGGTGAAGACCAAATTTTTAGGAAACTCACTCGATATCTATCCCCTTGGAAGGTAATGGTTGTTTTGGTTTGTTAGTCTCAATTGCTATGCTATTGTTCTTTAATATTGACAACTTGCAGCTGTTGTGGGATTCATTATCATTTGGTTTTAAATTATGTTATATTTAATGTTTCTAAAGTATATTGGGGAAGTGGTTGTGGAGATACGCCTGTGAGGAGGACAAATGGTGGAGAATAGTGGTTGGTTTGAATTATAGGTGTGGCTGGGGGGAGTGGAACTCTTTAGAGATATCTTTTGTCTTATGTTAAAGACCTTTGGATGGGTATTAGAGAATGGATGTGATAAGCTTGTCAGTAATGTGAGCATGGTGGTAGGGGATGGGAGTAAGATGAGTACGACTCGCATGGTGGTAAGATGGATTGAAGAGAATCTTCCCAGCGAATAGGAGTGTGGCAGTGGTTGGTTAATGTTGTAGAGAGGACACTTTAATTTTTTGGGGACATTTTGCTTGATAGATTGGAAGCTGACAGAGTTCACGGAGAGATTGTGCATGGCAACTATTATTGGGATGATGGAAGACCCCCTAACTTGGAATCTATCTAGATTTTCAGGTCAAATCTTTCTATTGGGTGTTGATTGGTTGGGACAACTCATTATTTCCTTGAAAAGCTATTTGGGGAGCCTAGGGTTCCCCTCAATCTTACTGGTGATAATTTGATTTGACGAAGTTACATGCTTGTGAATTGTTGTTGCATGTCCAAGTATAAAGGCGAATTGGGGAATTGTCTTCATATTCACTGTCAAGTTGCAAGTGAGCTTTGAACTTGGATTCTCTCATGGTTTACGGTGCAATGGGTGTTTCCCATTGGAGTAGTAGAGTTGCTTCATAGTTGATGAGAGGTTGGGGTGGGGGATAGGAGGAAGAAGATATGGTCATTGATATTGCATTATGCATTATGTGGATTCAATGGATGGAGAGGAAGCAGAGGTCTTTTGATGGTATAAAAGTTCCTTTGTATAGGCTTAAAAGTTCATTTGTTTCTTTTTTGTATGGTTGGGAGACGAGGATTGTTAACCCTTCTCTTGACCAATATTTATATTTTGTAGAGCTTTTTGATACATGTGGGAGGTGTATAGGATTTTGTTTTGCCTCCTTTGCGTCTATGTTGTATATAGGGGTGGTATCCCCTTAATGCCTTCTTAACCAAGTCAGCATGGGTGCAAAGTTATGCAATGCTTCTAATTCAATGCCGAACATGTTTTAGAGTAATTTCAAAGCTTTGAAGCTTTTTTGTGATTATTTGATTTCTTCTTCTTTATTTGTCTCTACACTTTTAGCCCCTCCTCTAAAATCCCTTCTTCTTCTTCTTCTTCTTCTTCTTCTTCTTCTTCTTTATTTGTCTGCACTTTTAGCCTCTAAAATCCCCAAATAACCAGATTGATTTGTTGCCCTTCTCGTGCCATTAAACCTTAATCTCTAATCCTAAACCCCTTTCTGTTCAATCCTTCAAACTAATTTGCGAAATAATCCAAAATTAGCCTAAGGTACTGCTAATAATGCCCAAAACAGCTTTGAAATAGCCCCCCGAAGGGATTTGCTTGGTTGAGTTTTCTCACATAGCTCTCTTTCCTTGTTCCCTATTTCTCAAACTCCAAGAAGTGAGATATAATTATTAATACCCATTCTATGTGTAGTGAAAAAATAACTGTAGAATATTATATTTTGTAGTTCATTTGATTAAAAAAAAATGTGACATCTTAAAAAATAGGATAAGCCAAAAAGGTTGTCTGCTTGCTTTGTATGATAATAAGATTTTGTGTTTGTTAGCTTAGCTAGTAAAGTATCTTGGTAGTTGTATCAATGACCTGGTGTTTAATCTTGCTATCCATCTTGGTTGGGGTTTCATCCATTCCCGGTTGGGGTTTTATCCAGTCCCTAACCCCATCATCATACTTGGATTTCTATAAAAAGAAAAGGAAAAAAGAACAGAGAAAAAGTCGTTTCATCTTTCACCTGGTCTGGGCCTGACTTTTTATGGAATTTCTTTTCTTGGGGTTGTCTTTCAAAATCTTTGTGGTGAGCAGTGTATTTGTAGCTCACTTCTATATATATATACATATGCAGGACACGGGTGACCCTAAAAAGAGATGGTGTGGTCCTAGATTTGGTGCCTCCTCCCTCAAAAGTTCACAACCTGATATTTGGACGAACTTGGGTTGATGTTCCAGGTGAGATGATCGTGACAAACATGACCACAGGGGACAAAGTTGTGCTATATTTTCAACCTTGTGGCTGGTTCGGGTATGATGCCTAGCAATTATGTTAAGTAATTTTGTTAGTTCTGTCGGTTTATATATATAAAATACATGTTTGCTGTTTTTTTCTTTTTATTTTGACTAGTTCATTTTTCTGGTTTTAATGAACAATACACGAAGGGCATTGGTCTTGATGTGAGGTTGCAAATGTATCAGAGAATCTGTTTATTTATTTAGTCAATCATTCATCCATTTTCCTTTTTAGTGTGTTTGTGCGTGCATGTGCATGCACTCGTTTAAACTACTGCTTTGATACTTTGACAGATGGTTATGAGATACTGTATAAGCTTCTTATCTAGACCTATGTTACAAGGGCTCTTCTAAATTTGTAAAGTACCCTTGTTGAACACTCACACTTGAGTAAGGATATGATATGTTTCTGACATATCTAGTTGACATGCAGTTGATTTTACATAATAACTATGCATAAAACTCCTATTTTATTCATGAAATATTTTATGTAAGTTTGTGAACACCATTTTGCCTTAATAAAATAAAATAAATATGTAAAAAAAATGATATCTAGCTGTGTTCTGGTGTCCTTGGAAATGAGAATTAGATGTATCTGACTCTTAGATACTTATTCACACCCGACAACTATACCCAAGCCCATGCAACATAGACCTAGACGACTGATCAATCTAGACCGATGTTTCCTTTATTTTTCTGTTACATCTACTACTGCAATATTATTTTCTGTTGCATTTTGCTGGTTTTCCATTGACTTGTATATTTAGTGCTTATATACCATTTTATTCAGTAAGGGTTGTCTTATGTGGGTAAATAAGACATAGGGAGTGGAGAGAGGAAGGTGTTTGAGTGCTGCTGCTGATTATGACAGAATGTGTTAGGTGAGCTGTCCATGTTACTGGGGGCCACCAAATTTGTGTTTGTAATGATAATTCTCCTATTTGGTTTTGTTTGATTTCTTAACGTGGGGCCATTTTGGAGAAAAAGGGTTGTCTTCACTTTGGTTTTTCACTCTTGAGGAAAGGCAGAAAAGGGTGTTTTTTTTCTCCTTTGTAATTAATACTCTTTTTGTATCAGCCTAGTAAATTGATGAAAAGTAAAAAAGGCAGAGCATTAATTTCTTCAATGTTATTGTGGCTTTTCACATAGGGAAGTGCACGAAAGGCGGTACTCATGACGTGAGTTTTCTGAGTATGTAACAATAAGGTGGTGAAGTAAATATATAAGTAGGAGATAGCTGATCAGTTGATCAGAGTGTGAAGTGTTGTATGAAGAAAATCTATTAGTCTAAAAAGGGTGTTGGGTTTGCACATAGAAGAGTGCAAAGAGTGAGGAGAGAGGGTTGAGATAAAAAAATATCAGAGAGCAAGGAAAACGTTTACAATTTTAGGGCTTGGGTTTTTGTTATTTTTGTATCTCTTATTTGTAATCTAATCTCCACTATTTTGTAGTGTATTGTTTCTCGTCTGTGGACATAGGTGTAGTTGTGCCGAACCACGTAAATCTCTGCGTATTTTTTTGTGCATTATTTTTTTTTTCTGTATTTTTCTTTTGCATGTGCATTATTTTTTATGTGTGCTTCTGTGTGCGCATGTCAAATCCCAACAGAATGTTGTGCTCTAAAGAATTTGTGGTCTTGTAGGAACTTTCGGCTCAGCTAAGAGTTGTTTTCTTAACCTCTTTCCACGGCAATTGTTAGTAATGACTGGTTGTTTATCTTGCATTCATTCGCAAAATTAAAACTGAATGTGATCAGTGGTTTTATTTTGGGGAATTTTAAAGACTACATTTTGATTGAACATCATATAAGTTCTCTTTAAAGTATCGCCAGATTGTAATACAGTTTACTTGCATAATGTGGGGATTAAGCCCTAGGAAGTGACCGCTGTTCAATTAGTTAATTTATCTTTTCTGTTAGAATATTATCTGGAGTTCTTGGAACTCTGTTTTCATGCCTCGTGTTTGGTTGCAGTTCTGGTCGTTTTGAAGTGGATGGATATGTGTATAATGCGGCTGAAGAACCCAAAATATTGATGACTGGGAAATGGAATGAGTCAATGAGTTGTCAACCTTGTGACATGGAAGGGGAACCCCTACCGGGCACTGAAATGAAAGAGGTTGGCTCTGTTAACCTTCGTTTGTCTTCCCCTTTTCTTGCTGGTGTAAACATTTTCCTAAATTTGACTAAACAGTATATGCTGTCATTTTTAGCTGTGTTAAACTTACTCTTCCACTTCCCTCAGTGTACCTGTATCCACCGATGTGACTAAGGTAACATTATAGTTATATGTGCTTGATACCCGTATCCAATTTAGACATTTGGATCCTCTAATTTTATATGATGTTTAAAGAATAAGACACTCACATTTGTTAGTAAAGAAACATTTCTAACTTCTGACACGAATACACATAAATTCTATATATATTTTTTTATAATCCCATTTAATTTGAAGTATTTAAAAATAATTTAAACATCTTACCTAAGAGTGTTATATAATATGCAATAGTTAGCATATTCTGAAAGGAGACAGAAATTTATATAGTTAGCACATTCTAAAAGGAGATTGTGACGTGTTTGCTTCCTTTTATGGAGTGAAATTATTATTTCAATTTGCAGGAGTCTGCCGGGGAATTGGAAAGGCCGTCATTCAAATACTGAAACCATCTGTTTAGCAGAATACCAGAACCTATTGTGGAAATTGTGCAACTTAATTATATGTTACTCTTCAGCTAAGAAAAAGAAGAGGAAAGAAAGACAAGAATTAAGTTTTATATGAAACGTTATTACAATTTACATTGGTTTTAAATGTTATTCTTCATATTGTGGCTTGCCCTCCTAAGCCTGGTCTGAAAATTGCTGCAAACTGGTGTGAGGATTACCCTATATAAAGCCTCGACAAGACCCAGAGGTTTGGTCTGCACTAGGTTGTCCCGCCCTAGTGCCCTGCATTTAGAAGGAAAACATAGATAATAGCTTTCTATCATTGTTGTAAATTGTAGTGACATTACAAGACCCATGAAATCTCTTTAATAGCTTTTTTGTTTTTCCTAGACAGTTGTTCATATTGCTGGTAGTTAAGCTGGTAAACAAACTATTTATTTATCAACTAAAGCTGCTGGTAATTGTTGTGATGCTCCCCATTATGCAGGTCTGGAGAGTTGCTGAAAGTCCTGAAAATGACAAATTTCAGTACACACATTTTGCACACAAGTTAAATAGCTTAGACACTGCACCTAAGAAGTTGCTGGCATCAGATTCTCGCTTGCGTCCGGATAGATATGCACTCGAGAAGGATGATTTATCCAAAGCTGGTTCAGAAAAGAGCAGGTTTCTGTGTGTGTGTGTGTGTGTGTGTGTGTGCGCGTGCGCTTGTGCACGCAAGATGTAAAGTTTGTATGATGGCCTTTGACTTGGAACATTGTGAAGAAATATAAGGGCAAATCTGGAATTTCAGCATGCAACATGTTTAGGTCATCATGGTGGTGTACTACATCCACCTAATTTCTCACTACATCAACCTCTGTTTCACATGCATTGAAATTTGTGCCCTCATATATAGGTGAATGTAATGAGAAAGTTGGTGGGTGTAAATAGAAGCACCTGACATCATGGAATTTGAAGCATTGGGTTGATTTGAGGTTTAACTTTTTGTTTAGTTTAAGCTAGAATGTAGCTGGGCACATTTGGCGGCATTTTATTCGGTTTGGGTTTGTTTTGTTAATTTTATATGGTTAGCTTGGGCACATTTATGCAAAGTTTGGGTTGGCAAATGAGTAATTTATAGTTTCGATTGTCATGATTTTTTCAGGCTGGAGGAGAGACAGAGGGCTGAAAAGAGAATTAGAGAGTCGAAGGGCCAACAACATATTCCAAGATGGTTTGACCCATCTAGTGATGTTGCACCTACCCCTTGGGGTGATTTGGAAGTTTATCAGTATAATGGCAAATACGATGAACATCGGGCTGCTATGGATAGCTCAGACAACATTGGAGAGATTGATGTCAGATCGACAGAGTTCAATCCCTGGCAGTATGGAAACTTGGCTACAGAATGAGATGTACGTCATGTATTATTACCTTGATATTTTTTGTTTTTATTTATTTTGGGGATGCCAAATGGCTCTTGTTTTATTCTGTTAGTGTGAGCTTCAACAACTTTATAAACTAACATGCAGTCAGCGAGTTTGTTTTTGTTTTCATCACAATTTCGTTAATTTTAGTATAGAAATGAGCTGAGCTTGTGGTGTCATTGAAGAAGTGAACAGATGTGGACAATTTTGGATGTAGAGCCCAACCCGCTGCTTAAGTTGGATTCAGTTTGAAATTTTTCCACAGGAGGCTGTTTAGATTTATCTGAAGAGGCTGAAATATATATAGCATTAGAGTTTTTGTGTCATTCTGGGAAGGACTTTGAGCCAAGTATGTCCAATGAAGGATAGCCACTTGGTAACAACCCGTTGGGAAGTAAAATTTAGGGAAAATGACCATCTTATGCAGGTTATTTTCAGCAGCAATGGTCCCTTTTACTTTGAATTGAACCTTTGGCAGCTAATTTTTTATTAAACTTGTACTTTTTTTTGGGGGGTGAGAAATAGGAGACATCTAAGTCAATACATAGTAAAGATATCTATTAAGCACCTTGACTCCTCTAGTTCAAAGAAGAATAAAAAACAGCACCTTGACTCATGGATGGTGTTTTCGTTATCTTGAATAGTTTGGTTAAATCTGGAAATGATTGATTCAAAGGTAAGAGAGCATACATTTCAAGTGGAGTGTTTATTATGCTGAATATTTGCAGCCTTTGCTATTCTTTTTTGGGGGTTCTTTTGGGATTTTGTGGGATCTGCATATGTTACAGGAAAATGTGAAAGAAAGCAAAGTCGGTTTTCTATTCATGTTGCCCATACTGGTCTTTTTACAATGTAATGTTATTTATGGTTCATTCTGTTATATATTTTTTATTTGTTGCTTTTTAATCTCATCTTCTTGTGAGGAATATAAACAAGGGTTTAGGAGGAAGAGAAGAGTAGATGTGTAAAGTACGCCCTTCTTTTTTGGATGAGGATCAAGTTAAGTCTCATTTGTCAACTATGGGTCCGTTTGGGAAGGGTTTTTCTGGACTTTTTTGGCTATTTTAACCACAAAAGGCAAAATAGGTTATTTTAGCCACAAAAAATAAAACATCACATCCAATTCATAATCATTACATTCTTCTCTCACAAAAAAAGTCAAAAAGTCAAAAAGTCCTTCCCAAACTAAGCTTTTTAGCCCAGGCTAAAATAGTTAAAAAGTTAAAAAGTCAACCCACTTTTCAAACGGGGGCTATATGTTTTAGTCAACAAGTTATTATAAATTGTCACATTATTTTTTATTTTTTTTGTACATCTTTTTAAAAAAAATTAAAAAATTATTAAAATAGTTTATTTTCAAACAAGGATGGTGTTGTATTGAAATTGGACTCGCGATCGGCACAATCACTTGCAAAACACTTTGAACCCAAGATGTCCCAGTTTATAGTTTCAAATAGAGTTTGTCCTCCGCTGGGCTATCTGTGCAGTTTAGTAACACCTTTCTTACACAGAATGTCATGAAAGTTTAATGTTGTGATTAGTTGGGGGATTTGGGGAGGGATTTGGAAAGGGAAAGGGAAAGGGAAAGGGAAAGGGAAAAAGTGCGTGAAACTAGGTGAAATATAGACATATTTTATTCACATTTCACTTATCTTTTTCATTTCTCTTTCCAAATCCCTCCCTAAATCTTCCAACCAAACACAGCATTAGTGAATCTCGGGTTTGCCAGAACTAGAAGCGGACCTGAAGTGGAGATTATGTGGAATATACATATATGTATATATATATATATATATATATGGGTCATGTTGGGTATTATATATAAGTTATGATATAAATTAGTAATAGTTATGATTTATTATGATGTTTGATTATGCAGTATTGTGGTAGTGTGACCAATAAATTATAAGATTAAAATTTAACTTGTTTATGCCTTATTATTTTTAGGGTAAACTATTAATAGGTTTTAATAGTTGAATTTATTTTCCATTATATTGAAAATAATTTTAGTAAAATCTTCGTTAAAAATAATTTTTGTGATGATTTTTGCATATATTGTTAAAAATTGACAAATTAGTGGCTTTTTTTTTGTCATGATTTTTATAAATTGTTGTTAAAATTTACAATTATTGATATTTTTTCAAATTTCTCTAAAAATTGAAATTAGTAACTTTTTTGACATTTTTTAAACTGCCGCTAAAACTTATAATTAGCGACTTTTTGTGACAAAAATTTTAAACTATTATTGAAAATTAACAATTAATGATATTCTTTTAATAGTATTTAATGAAAAATATCATTAATTATCGTAGGACTTATTGGGTAATAAGTTTACTTATTAGAATTTATACGTAAGTCGTTCTTATTTTTATCGAGCTAAAGTTAATAATTAAAAAATAAAAGTTAAAAATACCATTTCTCCAATTTTCAGATCATTAACTTTTTAAAAAAAAATTATTTAAGCTATATTTGCATTATAAATTATGATAAATTATAAATACACCTGTTAAGATTTGTTTAAAATATGAATTGGTCTTTGTAGTTGTGGAAGTACATCCTGGCTTTTTAAGTTTTTAATTTCATAACAAATGATTTATTTTATTAATAAATCATCAACTTAATTAATAGTTTTTAACAACATGAGAAATTTATTTCAATTAATAATTTAGGTAATTTTATTATTGTATAGGAGAGTAGTTAGAAATTTTTATTTTTTGAGTTAATTTTATTAAATAAAAAATTCTGATAAGAGAGCATTTATTATTTTTTAAATCACATGGCACAATTCGTATTTTAAACAAATTTTGGGGAGTATATTTGCAATTTATCCTATAAATTAGGATTGGAAATTGCATCAAACACTAACAAAGTAAAATAAATAAATTATAAACAATTCTAATAAATTGCACCAGGTGAGATTTGGCTTGAGTTACAAATAAAGTGGATTTTAGTTTTGACCTAAATTGATATTAATTACTACCCAATATTAATATAATCAATAGCTCCGATTCATTTTCTGAATTTAACAATTAAAATTGTGAATGCATATGATATGTACATGTTTCGGATTGTGTAATAAAATTTCTCTCTGTTATGATATATTTCTTTCTTAAAAAATTGTAAGTGAAAAAGCTTTCCATGTGATTCTTGAAAATGGCCCCTACACACGGCCAACAACTTGATTATCGTTACGAAATGACACCAATATTCTGGCCACTAGTACTTTAGTTGGTTGACTTTTTGCCTCAATATGTGCTGAGATTGAAACTTATAAGGAAAATTAGGACTGATTTGGCATATTTGAAAAAAATTAAAAAGTTAAAAATTTATTATTCTATTTAAGTCGGATTATTTTATTTAAGTTGTATCACCTCTCTAACACATTACTTCAAATCTAACCCAAACACAACTCATATTTTATAAAAAGTCAAAAAATACGCTTATTTAGATCATCCCAAACAACCCCTATATTTTTTCTGTTTGCATCATGAATTTAGTTAAAGATTTAAAAATAATTTTTTTAAAAAAAATTTATATTATTTTAATTTTTTATTTAAATTTATAATTCAAACTCAACTTAAATCTTTGGAATTAAATTTGGGTTATGGTGAGCTTCAGGTGGAGGTATCTTGGAGGGCCCAAACGAGTGAAAAGTGTAATATATTTGATCCGTGGACCAATTCTTGGCCCTCTAAAACAAAAGGTAGGACAGCATTTAAAAATCAAAGACAAGATCTGAATGGGAGAAAGAAAAGAAGAGGAAGGGTAAAGGAGTAGTGTTAGCCCATCCAATGGATGGAAAGCATTTAGCTAATGATTATCCAATTATTTTGAGCTTCTCCCTTTATGTTTGCCCAAAAGAAGAAGGTGTGTTTTCAGTTGTTTTATTTGTACAAGGATAAATTATAAAATTGAATATAATTTTCTTATACAGATGTGAGATTTATTAAAAAATTAAACTCGTCTTATATATATGAGAGTTATATTTGAATCTGTAATCTATCTTTGTTTTCTTAAACTTTTTTTTGTGCTTTTAATGTTGAGTTAGACTTTGTGAAGGAGGAAAATTAGTATCCAAACTCAACGATGATAATGGAATTGTGGCCGAAAGTCTCCTCTAACAAGAAGATAAAGAGAATTGCTTTTTAAAATAAATGATTTAAATAATTGAAATATGAGCCATGGTGGATTTCACGGGTCCGAACATCCTTCCAATTCAAATCTTAGAATGGAGGAAAACCAAACACTTGAAAAAAAAAACAAAAATAAGCTATAAAAACTAGAAAAAATTATAATTTATTTTTTTATACTCATAAGTGTGATAGTTGAGTTGTCCTTTCAAATTATTTCAAACATCAAAATTTCATTACTATACGTGACATATGCAGTGAAATTTGTTTCCTTTTTGCGAGTGGTTAAACTAGCACACATATTTTGAATGAGCTATGTTGTTGGGAGGATTGAGAATTACTATAGACTTTTCTTGATCAACAAATTTACAAAATAGGTAGGATTATTTATGAAAGCATTTACCTACTCAATGGTAGGAAATTGATTTCCAATTTGCACTTGTGTACAAATTGAGGTAGGCCTACTCTTAGTTGCCGTGCAAGATGTGAAATTAGGTTTTATTTCACAATTCAATTAACCAAATGATACCTCTATTTGACTTGAGAATTCTAATCTCCAAGAAAAGGGTAAATCCGATCATACATCATTCATATCATGATACGGACTACTAGTGCATGTCAAAGTCATTTCTTGATATTAACAAAATTATGACCTTGTACAGGGTTTGATTTAATTTTTAGCAATAATGTTAAATGTATAAAAAGAAAATATAGAAAAATATATATAAAGTGTATTGTATAATTAAAATTCATTTTAAGTATAATACAGATCAGACTTAAAATAAAAATTAGTTGTACAATACACTTTTTATATAATTTTTAAATTATTTTTATGAACCTAACCCTGTTTAATTTTTAATTATTGATTTTGGGAATCTATTTCCACAACCACTACGCTTTCCATTGTAAGGCTTATTACTTAAAAACGTTTAACATGTTTGGTAGAAATTTCAAAATTTAGAACATTGGCCATATTTGTTTAGCGTTTTGGGAATGGGAGTTAGACTAATAATTTGTAGGATTTACTTAAAGGTTGCGTATGTTTGAAC